ATATTGAAAGAAATGTCACAAATGCTTAGGACTGCACAGGGGTGAAACAGTGTTACCTTTTAAAAAATCATAATTTGAAAATCCTTTGATCAAACACCCCCAAATTTGGCACACAACTATAGCAGACATTCTGCTACATCCAGGCCAAATTTGGTGCTGATTCAAGGTCCAGTTTCATAGTTATAATTTTTTCGTTTGGGTCGTCCTTAATTTTTAGTTGGCTTACACAATGCTGAGTGCTCCTGTTAGCACAATATATTGCTGCATACTTGTGCAGCCATAATAAAGTTAAAGATAGTGACAAATGGTGTAGTTTACATCAGCTTCTCACTGGCAATTTGGATATTCAGGCACATGCCAATCTCTCAGACATGCAGTGAGAAGCTGCTCCGTGTTAGGATGTTCACCTTCCATAGGTGTAATTAAGCAACAAATTTTGGACATATTTTGGACATTTTATGTTCAACCTGATTCACATGCATTAAGTTTGCTCAAGCTGTAGTCTCCTAGCTGCCCAGAGTGGTAGAATATACTAGATGGGTGGGATATAAATCAAATAAATAAATAAATAAATTATATGTGTTTTGTTTTTATGTGCCTTCATGTCACAATATTTGCTGGTGACACCTGATCTTTGATTACACGTTTGACTTCAGAACACTCCAATGCCAGAAGCATTCAAGAGAAAATTGGACAGCCATCTGTCAAATCTGCTTTGATTTGAATTCCTGTATTAAGCAGGGGGGGATTGGACCTGATGGCCCTATAGGCTCTTTCCAACTTAATTATTCTTTGGTTCTATGAAATTAATCAGCTTTGGGAGGTCTGTTCTTTTTATACTCTGAACTGAGTAGATCTTCTGCAAAAGGACTGAGATTGGACAACAAACTATAGAACCCCGCCACTGACTTCTTATGATTTAAACAAGGCAAGCTCATCCTGCCAGTTTGGTATAGCCCACCCTATTCTCAGGGTATGCCCACCCTGCATCCTGCATTAAACATATACAGTATCTCTAAGAGTGCAATCCCATATGTATGTTTGTCTAGAACTATGTCCCACTGATTTTCATTGGACCTACTACCAGCTAATTGTGTACCTGATGCCAAAATTAATAAACTGAGACTATTGCACTCTGGACACACAGGAAAAGTAGATTCAATGGAAAAGATAATAGTGGGACAAATTCATGATAGTATTAAAGGAGGAAAACCAAGTATGAGATGGATTGACTTCATCGTCCATATGAGGAACCCATAGACTTTAGTTTACAAGACCTGAACAAGAGTCTTAATAATAGGATCCTTTAGAAGTTGTTAAGTCACAAGGTCTCCATAAATTAGAACCAGCAGCAAGAATATTAGAAGTGTATGATTTTTTCTCAGTGTTTACATTTTACTGAAAAAAATGTTTGAAAATAGCATGGAATGAAATAGCATGAATTAGCATGGAGTATAGGTACCACCTCAGTGGGAAGGTAAAAACAGTGTTCCCTAGTTACTCTGGCCATGTGACAACGGAAACTGTCTTTGGACAAGCGCTGGCTCTACGGCTTGAAAACGGGATGAGCACTGCCCCCCTAGAGTCAGACACGACTGGACTAAAAATGTCAAGGGGAACCTTTACCTTTTTACCTTTTTTATAAACCAAACAGTCACAGAATCTGTAGGTACGTTTTTGTTTTCTGTCGTAAGATCTCATAAAGCCTTATTACTCTGACTAATTTTTCTAAATATGGACATGTTTTAATAATTGTTATCTTGTGCTTATTGCTGTATTGTTTTAACTTGAGTCTGTGACTGTATAGTAAATAAAAGAAAGAATAAACATGAAAAATGAACCAGAGAGATTTAGCATTCCAGAGCGATTATACTTTTTTCTGCATCAATGCTGAGATAATTTGTGATCAATTTAAAATTATAATTAAAAGTTTGAATCTCAAAAGGATGCTTCTGTCTCTTCTGCTCAGCTGTGCTGGACTCTTGAGAACAAGCATCTCCAAGGCCAAAGCATATATTAATAATGTCAACTGTTAGACATCAGTTGCATACCTTGGGTTGACTCAAGAAAAAGTGAATTTTTTTATTACAGTGATTGCCAACTATATCATGCCAAGTGGATGTAGAAGAATACGGAGTCAAGTGAAAAGAATTCTAGGACTTAAAAGTAAGCTATTCATGTAGTTATTTCACCAAGTTACTTTCTTTCCCTCCATCCCACTTCATTCAATAACTACTTCTTTCTCCCTTCCCTTCCTTTCCCTTCCCTTCTACCATTTTGGACGCACTAAGGAGTGTGGCAGAAAAGGTGCAACAGTTAGAAGTAGTAGCCATGAGTCATGGCCTGAAAAGAATCTAGAGCAAACTTTTAGCCTAAAGTTCAGTTGGAAAAGCCACAATCTCTGTCTTCACCATCCTGTTTAGAGAAGCCAACACTGTTCAACTTTGCAGAATTGTCAGGAAGTCTTAGATAATAAATGGAATATACTTTCAATAAAGAGGCTTTAGACAAATGAAAGATTGATAATGAATAGAATGAAAAATAAACTAATGATTAAGGAAAAACCCTAAAATTAAAAATGACTTATAACTATTTGATAATGTTTTACTATCACTTCAATGACAATGATCAATTTCATTTAACTGCCAAATTAAATGAAGAGAAGAAACAAAGTTGATACTCAAAACATGAACTTTTTATTTGCAATTCTGTTGACTCTGGATATCAAAGGGGCCTCAGTGGGATGAGTCCAAGAAGAGGAAATGATTCAAAATGGCATCAAGATGGGAGGAAAAGCTGTCAAAGACCTAAAACAATGTTCTGTTGTGTCAAGAATTAGGAAGAAACCGTAACAGTGAAAATATTTCAAATTTATATAATCATACAGTGCAGATATACCTTAATGCCATTGTAACTTGTATGATTCCACCCTGCTGGGATTTCTTGTTTATTCAGCTAATTAGAAATCTTTCTTGTAATTCAGGTTAGTACACTTAAGCCTTTTCATAAGGAAATCTAAGTACCACACCAAATAGGATGAACTCAACACAATTAGAATGGTATCAAACTTAAGTCTCATTCTAGACCTGTACATTCTTACCCATCTTATCTCATTTTTAACCAATTCCTGTCTCCTAGCTAATCCTAGAGAGGAAAATTGTAGTTACAAGGAACAATGGAAGGCTGCAGTAGGAGAAAATGGGAATAGTATTAGAGATACAGTTTAAAGTTGGAAGGGAGCTTCCTATGACCTTGAGGAAGACTGCAATCTAAGTTACATCTGGATGGTACTTTATATATTCTAATATATATGTACAAACTTCATGTCTTAATATGAATAATACTGATCTCAGCACAAGCCCTCTTGGTTAAAACATGGAAAGTGATAAAAGTTTTAACATAGAAAGCTGGTTCTTTAAAGACCTGGAATGTGGTTTGAAAGACAAGATTACTTCTTATATTACAGTTGGAATTGATGACCACAAATAGCATGTATTTTGTTTTTAACAGGTTGTGGCTATTGTTTGATTTACATAGCAGTCTAACTATAGGCAAATTATGTAATGTGGTAACAACTGCAGGGTAAAAACCTACTGTGTTCTTTTTTTCTTTTTACACATTTGTTTCCACTTTTCTTTTATATATCATCTTTAAACTGCAGTTTGTTTTTCTTTGGATAGTGACTTTTTTCCTTTCTTATTCTCCCAGGGAGTACCTTGCTATTTTAAACAGTGAAAGAACAGACATGCCCAAAATTCTAAGATAGAATTTATACTCTTGGAGTTCTCCAGTGTCTGACAACTGCAGACAGAACAATTTACTGTACTGTGTTTTCTACTTGACTGCACTTGTATGAAATCTCATTATTGTGCAGTGGCTCTCAATCATCTTTTTCACACACTCATGTATTTCTCCTTGATGAACTTAGCCGTGATTGATCTTGGGTCTATTTCCATCACTATCCCAAAGTCCATGGCTAATTCTCTGATGGATCTTATTTTGGGTGTGTTGCTCAAGTTTATCTTTTCTTTCTTTCTTTCTTTCTTTCTTTCTTTCTTTCTTTCTTTCTTTCTTTCTTTCTTTCTTTCTTTCTTTCTTTCTTTCTTTCTTTCTTTCTTTCTTTTCTCATTTTGTTGAAGAATTCATGCAGAACCAGACCTGCAAGGTAAGCATTTTTACATCCCTGTCACATAAAAAGAGTTGTAAAAATGTGCCAGAGATTCTCCCCTTGCCATGTAGGTACTGTTAAAATTTTGTTTTATTTGATAACCAAACTGTAAGGACAAAAAATGATTTAATAAATACGTTGGCTTTTCAAACCTGGGTATTTATTTTATTCTCTCTCTCTCTCTTAATATGTTAATGAATTAATTAATGATTATATTTATTTATTAAATTCATATATATAGGGTATGGATATATGAAATGTAAATTAATCCCACCATACCCTATATATACATATATATATACCATATAGGGTATGGTGGGGTTAATTTACATTTCATATATATATAGGGTATGGTGGGGTTAATTTACATTTAGAAATGTGTAAATGTAATAAATATAATAATGTATTATTAACAAAGGATTAGGGTTTAACTAGTAGTACACAAATTCTTACACAATTCTGAAGCAGGTTACTTGACAACCTTGATGGCTTGTGATTAAGTTGGGAGCAGTGTCCCGAGAAATCTTGGGGTGAGCAATCAAACATATTCACCTATTTTTGGAAGCCTTCCTGGTGTTCTTCTGTCTAGCAATTATTTTATACTGATTCATATACTGATTCTATGGACTATTACACTCTATATTTTATAACTTATATACACAAATGTCACCACACCTCTGGATGAAAGAAATTTCTAAACATGGATGAATAATCAATGAATAAACCACAACAATAAGAAAAATCCCCTGGAAATGCAAGTAATATTTCTACTCTTTTCACCCTCTTATCCTTCTTTTTCCTTCCTCCGCACATTTTTCCTTCCGCAGGCAACATGCAACATAAGGATCAAAACCAAAATAATCAGTCTTCTTTCACACACTTTGTTCTCTTGGGATTCTCTGAGGTTCATGAGCTACAGATTTTAGTCTTCTTTGTGTTTGTTGTTTACTATTTGTTCGCCGTTGGAGTGAATCTTCTCATCATCTCTGCAGTAGCTACTGACCGCCATTTACATAGTCCCATGTACTTCTTTCTGATGAACTTGGCCATACAAGATGTTGGACAAGTTTCAGTCATTTTCCCCAAAACCATGGCAAATTCCCTCATGGGTAATAGACAGATTTCGTATTCTGGATGTGTTGCTCAAGTTCTTTTTTATATTTTCTTTGTAGCGTCTGATTTATTTCTTCTCACAGTTATGGCATACGATCGGTATGTTGCAATTTGCAATCCATTACAATATGAGATGTTGATGAACAAACAAGCTTGCCTTCAAATGATTTCTATTGTCTGGATCAGCAGCTTTGTTTATGGAGTCTTACATGCTGGTGGTACTTTTGCAGTCTCCTTTTGTTCCAAATTTATCAGTCACATTTTCTGTGAAATCCCACAGTTAATGAAACTTGCCTGCTCTGACTTGTACCTTATTGAAGTAGGCTTTCTTTTCCTAGGTGCTGTGCTTGGAGTAGGGTGTTTTATTTTCATCATTGTGACATATGCACACATCTTTTCTGCAGTGTTAAAAATTCCATCCATGCAGGGAAGGAAGAAAGCTTTTTCAACGTGCCTTCCGCACCTCATTGTGGTTTTCATATTTTTATCTACAGGATGCCCTGTTTATATCAAGCCCTCCTCTAATTCTCCATTATACCTAGATGTAGCCTTGACTATATTATATTCCATGGTTCCCCCTTTAATGAACCCAATAATCTACAGCATGAGAAATAAGGAAATAAAGAATTCTCTATCCAAGATTTTAGGCTTAAAATAATCTCCTGGACATTGTCTTTCTAGTCTTCTGTGAAAGTGATATCTTTTTGTATCTGTCATCCCTGGTGTACTGTGGAAATAACCTCCCACAAATCCATTCTTCTATGCAGCCTTTGTGCATAGAGAGGAATATTTGGGAGCTGTGCCTCCTATTATTTTAAAGCTGGAAAATGAGAGCTTGAGTTAATATAGAACGTAGGTTTCAAGGGCGCAGAATTTTAAAGTAACAAGAGACCTACCAGGCTCTCCTTACCTCCTGCCCTGTTCTCTCAGTGATATGGTTTGAGAAATGCCATCTGGGTTATTTTTTATGGCTAGTGTCCACAAGACTTACATGGGACATTGCTTCACTGAAATGTCCTGGAAAACACTCTCTGTTTTTTGAAAGCAGTTTTTAAGTCAAGTTGTTACTTATATTTCAAGTCAATTTGCAAGCTACTTTACCCCATGCAAATAAGACCATTGTGATGGATCACTCAGAACAATTATAGTTTCCCATCTAGCAGTGCTGCATTACTGAGCAGGCCACCACTGAATGATGGAGCCTAGAGGAACATAAATACAGTATGTCGATGTGACAGATAGTGAGCCCTGACTTGAGAAGGGAGAATGAGGCTGGCTACATGAAGAAAGCAGTAAAAAGAAGAAAGGCCCCCTGGATACTCATTGGCCATCTCAACACGCCAATAGAATTGGGCCCCAACACAACATCGTGAGGGCAACCAGCTAGCTTCAACAGCAATACACACACTCTCACCTTCTAAGACTCTGCTCTCTAGGTCAGGCCAAAGAAGAAGTCATGGCTGCCAGGTGACATACTTTCTCACAAGGCCCATTTCATTTGAGTCCCTAGCATTTATCTCCTGAAGAGATGGCCCTCCAGATTATACCTCCACAACTGATCTGCTGCTGGTAGCATGGCCTTCTCTGTGGAGCTCTCAATGTTTGGAACTTCCTTACAAAGATGGTCTTCATTCTCCTCTATGATCTCTTTTCATGTTGCTTTTTCCCTGGAAATTCTGTTTTCTTGCTGAGGTTATTTTTTGTCTGTTTCTCTTTCTGGTTCATTTCTTATTTTTATATTGGTTTTATTTATTCACTCTATTGGTTTGTTGTAGCGGATATTTCTTTTTTAATTTTATGAAGTACTATATAATGCAATGTAATGGAACTAAAGAGCTGTAGAATTAAAAATAAAAATAAAGCACAAGACCAAAAAACAAAAACAAAAAATCTCCATCATGGCTCATTTCATCTAAGTGATGCACTTGGTCTTCTTTTATTCTCAACATGTATAGATTCATGTTATCTGTGGAAGAGTCATATTTCTTTGTCCTATTCTGCCCCATTGAATTTTAGGTAAAATTTAGAGCCATGCATAGGTACTCCAGTTTGGATTCTGCTTCACCCTGTCAAACCTCAAAGTGTTAATGATGACGTATAAAGCCCTAAATGGTTTGGGACCTCGGTATTTGTCAGATCGCCTTCTCCCACCCAGATCTACCTGAATTACTCGGCATAGCCAGGAGGGGCCTAACGCCAAGAGATGCCCGGAAAGAAAGAACAAGAAACTGGGCCTACTTGGCAGTGGCCCCTCGACTATGGAACGGCCTTCCATCAGAGATCCGCCTGGCTCCTTGCTGAGTGTTTTTAAGAGCCATTTAAAAACTTGGCTCTTCAGGCAGGCTTTCCCTCCTGTCAATTCTTGAATTCTATCTTTCTGTTCTTTTATTCCCCATCTTGATCACACTATATTATTGTTAAAATGTTTTTATGATTATGAATGTTGTTTATTTTTGATTGTAATGTTTTTATTTTCATTTAATGATACTTTATGATTTTGTAAGCCGCCCTGAGTAGACACTGTCTAGGGGGGCAGGGTATAAATCAAAGGAATAAAATAAATAAATAAATAAAAGGAAATAAATGATCAAGCTGGCAAAAGTCTGTTTCAATTGTTCCAGGTTGAAAAAAAAATAGAAGCTCTCAACAGCAGAGGAAAACTTCACATGGGGATCAAAATGAGCTAGACTGATTCAAATTGGACTTCACATTGTGTGTTCAATTAAAAACATTTTATAAGGAATTCCATGGTATTTGACCTTGCACTTGCAGCCTTTGTTAAGCTCAGACTTGCCAATCCATGCTGCTTTTGCCCTCATACCATTCCCCCAGTATGCACCTTCCTAACGAACCCCTAAATTTACAGCTGAAGATATGCACCAAGGAAGAGCCAAGCAATGACCTTGCCATTCTGAGTTCCAGTCTGACACTCTACCGTGTGTATTTTCCATTCCTGTTATAGAAATGACTCATGCTATTGATTATGGTCAAATCTAATGCTAATATAATATTAAGTGATGAATTAGATCTGTGAATTAGATTTAATAAATTGAAATAATGAGGAGATATAATTAATAAAAAATTAAATGTATTTCATTCACTCAAATATGAATGGCATCCATAATAAAAATAAGAATTGTAGTGTTTGTTGTTGTGATTCATGCAATGTAATCATGCTATACATACTTTGTGAAGAAAATAAATGTGCATCCTGGCAGAATTTAGAAGACTATACAATTGCACACAATTTCACACACACAAGCAATAAGGAATCATTTCAAATGAACCACACTAAGAAAGTATAGCAGACATTTAATAACACATAGAGACAATAGGTTGGTCAGGAAGAGATTAAAGATTCACCATTTAAAGCACACAAAGACTCCAATAAAATATTACCAATGAAAGAGAAGTTTGGAGTCACATTAACAAGATAAAGGGTAGGGAGAAGACTCAGATTACGCTCCAACTAGAATTGACTAGACAGATATTTTTCTCTGATTGCTACTATCAATAATAAACCTGGGGGGATGGTGAAGGAACATGAGAGAGATCAATGCATAATTTCAATAACTTCACATAATCCTCCTAACAAGTACTGTGATGGCAGTGCAGATACTCCCCCACCCCAATCCTGGCAGCATATTATGCCAATGCCAAAAATCCATATTGCCTTTCATCGGCTGAAAGCTGTAGACCCATTCAATCAATGGAATGTATAGAGGAATTCACCCAATGGGATGATTATGATGGTGGTTTACTGTGCCAAGCAATGGGATTTTAGCTGCCTTTTTCCTGCTCATTTTAGATGTTTTTGGATTGATGTGAAAATGTTAGGTCCCTTTTACTTTCTGTCGAATTGAATCTGGCCATTCCACTTCAATCCAAATCCCTTAGAAATAGGTCCAATAAGGCTGATTCAATTGAATGGTCAAGATTCATCCAGAGCTGATGGATGAATACTAATGGCCTAGTATGATCTGCATTTTCATTTTCCTTCACTGTTGGTTCAGTTGATCCTGGTGAACCCTGTCTACCTACAATTTCTAAAAGACCACGTTCTACCAGTTCTTGGCCTACCGGATGGCAGATGGGGCAGATAGATAGATAGATAGATAGATAGATAGATAGATAGATAGATAGATAGATAGATAGATAGATAGATAGACGGACAGACAGACGGACGGACAGGCGGACGGACGGACGGACGGACGGATATGGTAAAAAAAGAAATATACTGGGATTTTAGCTAACAGAGGA